GCCGACGACGACGACGACCACGGTGACAACGACGACGCCGACGCCGACGACGACGAAGACAAATACGACGACGACAACGACGCCGCCAACGAAGACGACGACGACGACGACGACGAGGGAGGAGGGAGGCCGAAGACGGCGACAACGACGACAACGACGCGGGAGGAGGGAGGACGGCGACGACGCGAACGACGAAGAAGGAGGGAGGACGGCGACGCCGACGACGACAACGACGAGGGAGGAGGGAAGACGAGGACGACGACGACGGCGACGAAATAGGAGAGTCGACGACAAGACGCCGACGACGGACGACGACGTCGAGGGAAGTGGAAACGACGACCACGGCGACAACGACGACGGAAACGACCACGACGCCAAAGAGGACGACGACGACGAACACGAGGAAAGACAGAGGACGACGTCGGCGACGACGACGACGACGCGGGAGGAGGGAGGGCGACGACGACGACGACCACGACGACGACGCAAGAGCGCGCGCGCACTCTTGTGTTGAAAATCCGTATTGCGAAACCTTGTGTTTTTGTAAGTTTTTTGGACACACGATTTTGAAATCCTTCCGAAACCGACGGGTTTTGAAGGATTTCGGCATACGCGCGCGACGACGCGCGCATCTGCACTTCGTCCCATTTTTTACAAAGGATCCCCGCGACGGCACACGCGCAAGGGCGTTCGACAGATTTCGACATGCGCGCGCGCGAAGCCAGTTTGAATCAGTGTTGCGAAACCCTGTGTTGTTGTATGTTTTTTGGGATCTCGATTGCGAAATCCTTCCGATACCCGAGGTTTTCGAAGGATTTCGGCATGCGCGCGCGACGACGCGCGCGTGTGCACTTCGTCAATTTTTTTACAAGGGATTCGTGAAGCAGTGTTATGTTAGAACAAAAGGCCTCCCCGCGTATTGCTTTTTTACAAGGGAGCCTCAGGGGGGGGAACCCGGTTGGCCTGGGACAGTGTGGTTTCATATTTAGGATGGGCATGTGGTCAGAATCATATGTGATTTACATAGGACGCGGGGGGTGGCGATACCGCCTGGGGGGGTAGAGTTTATTCTCTTTTAAGAAAGGAGAATCGACGGGGCGGCGACGGCGACAACATAGCCGCCAGACGGCCAGCCAGGCCCAGACGTCCGGCGGCGACGAGGCGGTGACGGGGCGGCGACGGCGACAACTCAGCCCCCAAACCGCCACCCACGGGCCAGACGATGGGCGGCGACGAATCGGCGACAGGGCGGCAACGGCGACAGCATAGCCGCCAGACCGCCACCCAGGCCCAGTTCCTTGGAAGAGAAGCAAGAGCCCCTAAGTGCAAGCACTGATTGGGAAATTGAGGGAAATCCATGATTTGTGATTGTTCGGACCCGGTTGAAGGTCGCCCACCTGTGGCTCTTTTCTGTTGGGCCCTCTTCGATACATCTTGGGACCGCATTTGGGCTATCGTTGGCCGTCTTCGAGGCATCTTGGGCCATCTTAGTGTTCTTGGTTGCCTGCGTGGGCCGTCTTGGAAGCTCGGGACGCGGATCCATCTGTTTCCCAACCCTCCCTTGGCTGGGCTCGTGTTTTGGATAGAGCAGGGGGGTCACCAACTCCCAGATTTTTCTCTTCCTCGCCCCCCCCGCGCTCCTCTCGGCTCTCTCCTTTCGCACCCCTCTAGAGGGCTGCGAAGTGTGAAACCGTCGCCACGTGCCAGGGTTGCCGGGAGAGCCAGCACAGCCGGGCCCCACCCGGACCCAAACGGCACCTCGCCATCCCGGGGGGGGGTGCGAAGTGTCAATCTGTCGCCATTTCCGAGGGCTGCTGCGGGAGCCAGCACAGAGGGGCCCCTCGCGAACCCAAACGTTGCCTCGCCATCCTTGGGGGGCTGCGACGTGTGAATTTGTCGCTACTTTCGAGGGCTGCTGGGGGAGCCAGCACAGTGGGGCACTGCACGGACCCAAAAGGGAAAGTGTCAATATGTCGCCACGTTCGAGGGCTGCTGGGGGAGCCAGCACAGTGGGGCCCCACGGGGACCCAAACGGGATCTCGCCATCTCTGGGGGGCTGCGACGTGTGACGTTGTCGTCACGATCTCGAGGCATGTTGGGGGAGCCAGCACAGTGAGGCCTCACGCGGACCCAAACGGGACCTCGCCCATCTCTTGGAGGGGTGCGACGTGTGAAATGATCGCCACGTTCGAGGGCTGCTGGGGAAGCCAACACAGTGGGGCACCGCGCTGACGCAAACGAGACCTCGCCAGTGAAGCGTAAACTTATCGCAACTTTCGGGCTGCTGGGGGAGCCAGCACAGTGGGGCCCCACACGGACCTAAACGGGACCTCGCCATCCCTTGGGGGGCTGCGAAGTGTCAATATGGCGCCACGTTCGAGGGCTGCTGGGGGAGCCAGCACAGTGGCGCCCCGCGCGAACCCAAACGTTGCCTCGCCATGCTTGGGGGCCGCGACGTGTGAATTTGTCGCCACTTTCGATGGCTGCTGGGGCAGCCAGCACAGTGGGGCCCCACGCGGACCCAAACAGGACATCGCCAAACTTGGGGGGCTGCGACGTGTGAAATGGTCGCCGCGTTCGAGGGTTGTTGGGGGAGCCAGCACAGTGGGGCCCCACGCGGACCCAAACGGGACCTCGCCATCCCTGGGGGGTTGCGGAGTGTGTATTTGTCGCCACGTTCTCGAGGGTTGCCTGGGGAGCCAGCACAGTTGGTCCCCACACAGACCCAAATGGGACCTCGCCATCCCTGGGGGGCTGCGACGTGTGAATTTGTCGCCACGTTCTCGAGGGTTGCTGGGCGAGCCAGCACAGCCGGGCCCCACGCGGATCCAAAGGAGACCTCGCCATCCCTGGGGGGCTGTGAAGTGTGAACCTGTCGCCATTTTCGAGGGCTGCTTGGGGGAGCCAGCACAGTGGGGCACCGCGCGGATTCGAAAGCGACCTCGCCATCCCTGGGGGATTGCGAAGTGTGAGATCGTCAGTGGTTTAGAGGGTTGTTGGGGGAGCCAGCACAGTTTGGCCCCACTCAGACCCAAACGGGACTTCGCCATCCCTTGGGGGGCTGCGAAGCGTGAAATTGTCGCCACGTTCGAGGTTTGCTGGGGGAGCCAGCACAGTGGGGCCCCACGGGGACCCAAACGGGACCTCGCCATCCCTGGGGGGGGGCTGCGAAAGTGAAACCGTCGCCACGTTCGAGGGCTGCTGGGGGAGCCAGCAAGGTGGGGACCCAAACGCGACCTGCCCATCCCTAGGGGGGGGGGCTGCGAAGTGTGCAATTGCCACCACGTTCGAGGGCTGCTGGGGAGCAGGCACAATGGGGCCCCACGCGGACCCAAACGTTGCCTCGCCATCGCTGGGGCGCCGTCAAGTGTGAAACTGCCGCCACGGTCGAGGGCTGCTGGGGGAGCCAGCACAGTGGGCCGCCACGCAGACCCAACCAGTACATTCCGAGGATTCTTGGGGGGGCCAGCACAGTGGGACCCCACGCAGACCCAGACGGGACCTCGCCATCCCTTGGGGGGTTGCGAAGTGTGAGATTGTCGCCACGATCGAGGGTTGCTTGGGGAGCCAGCACTGTGCGGCCTCACGCAGATTCAAACGGGACCTCGCCATCTCTGAGGGGGGGGCGCGTAGTAGTGTGAAACCGTCGCCACTTTCGAGGGCTGCTGGTGGAGCTAGCACAGTGTGGCCCCACGCAGAGCCAAACGGGACCTCGCCATCCCTGGGGGGTGCTGCGAAAGTGTGGAATTGCCGCCCTTGTCGAGGGTTGCTTGGGGAGCGAGCACACTGAGGCTCCACGCAAACCCAATCGGGACCTCGCCATCCCTGGGGGGCTGCGACGTTTGAATGTGTCGGCACGTTCGAGGGTTGCTGGGGGATCCAGCACAGTGGGGCCCCACGCACACCCAAACGGGACTTCGCCATCCCTGGGGGGCTGCGGAGTGTGAACATGTTGTTTTCTTCAGCGAGGGTTGTTGGGGGAGCCAGAACAGTGGGGCCCCACGCAGATCCAAAAGGTACCTCGCCATCGTTGAGGGGGCTGCGAAGTGTGAATCTACCGCCACTTTCGAGGGTTGCTGGGGGAGCGAGCACAGTGTGGCCCCACGCAGATCCTCGCCGTCCCTGGGGGGCGGCTGCGAAGTGTGAATCTGTCGTCAGTTTCGAGGGCTGGGGCAGCGCCTGCGCGCGTTTAGTGTTCGCACTAAGAGGTGCAGAGAGGAAGCGGAGAGGCTGATCGGCGAGCTAGGCTTTGACCGCTTCTTACATTAGCAACGGGAGCTTTACATTTTCCGAGGTGCTGCAGCAATGCGGAGCGTTACCCGCGCAGGCGTTGAGCATTTCGGCATGGAAAACGCGACATCTCATTGACTGTTTGCGTCTCCGCCTCTGTAACCTTGTCTTGCTCATGCTCCACCATCTTGCTGCCTCTGTTGAGGTGATTGTTCTTTCACCTCGATGCCTTCTTTTTCGTGTTCCTTCCCAGTACAATGCCTCCTGGTCTTTTCTACCTCTGTTCTGCGAGTCGGCCACGCACACTTCGCACTGTATAGATGTCCGTTGTGCACCGTCTCTTGCAGCGTTGCTGTCGCATGATTGTCGGCACGCCTTATATATACATATATATATATATATATATATATATCACCCCTTGGTGCCGATGGGTTGGGTACGTCGCCGGCTGATGTATCGAGGTTTCGCGGCCTCGGCAGCGCGGGCCCATCCTTTGTTTCACGGCGGATCGTGGCCTCGGGAGAGGGGGCGGGCGGCGTAAGGCCCCGTGCTTAGAGCTCAGAAGCCCCACCAGACAGCCCTTGGCATCCTTCCGCGCTGCAACGTGCCACGAGGCACGGTGGCGGATTGCGGCAAGCCGACCCCCTCCGTGATTTACCCCGCTCGCCGCGCTCCACGACGCGCGCAGGTTGCCGGCGGGGTTCCTCGAGGGCCAGGGGCGCGCCGCGAGGGGGACGGGTTCGGCCGGCCGCGCCCGAGGGTAGCCTGAGGTCAAGAACCCTGGGCTCACGACCCGGGAAGACGTGGTGGTGTCGGAGGTGGCCAGGGCCACACGTGGGGCATTCAAGGAGGGGTTTCGCCTTCGAGGATCGAAGGCGTTGATCGTCTATCATCGGCGGAAGGCGGCGGAAGTAAAACGAGGCCGCCTCCGCCGACGACAGCTGGCGGAAACTCGGCGGAAAGCGGCGAAAGCCAAAGTCGGCCTCCTAAGAGATGGCAGGGCGTTTGACTTAGATATCGTCGATCCCCCAGGAAATATAGGAAAATATGGGAATTGGGCGGGAATGCAAAAACCCAGAAAATATGGGAAAATATGGGGAATTAGTTTATTTGTGTGTATTTATTTGTGTGTCCTGGGGCCCCTTGAGATGCATCGGTCGGGCGAATGGGGGGTCTGGACGGGGGGGGGCACGGCAATTGCTGCGTGCAGCTGGTCTCGGCCCGGCCGCTGGGCGCCTCCCGGCGCCAGAGGGTGACGCCAACAGGCACCGGACAACAAAAAAACAGGCGCCCCTTTTCGTCCGGCCCGAACGGAGAGAGGATGTAACCACAGACTCCTGGCATATTGTTTTGTTCCCTACATTCTTCCCACCCGCGTCGCACGGGGGCTCACCCCACTCCCCTCCTTCTCCCTCCGTTGCCTCGCTCGTACATCCATCAGCTGTACGCGCGCGCGCATCGCATAACACACGCACGCACGCACGCACGCACGCACGCACGCACGCAACCACGCACGCACGCACGCACGCACGCACGCACGCACACACACGCACACGCACACGCACACGCACACGCACACGCACACGCACACGCACACGCACACGCACAGTTGGACGCACACTCAAACGTACTCGCACACGCACACGCACGCGCACGCGCACACGCACACACACACCTACACGCACACGCGCACGCACACGCGCGCACGCGCGCACGCGCGCACGCACACAAACACACCACACAGCACACCCACACGCACACGCACACACACACGCACACTCACACGCACACGCACACGCACACAGCACAGTGGACCACACTCACGTACGACGCACACGCACACGCACGCGCACGCGCACACGCACACACACACACCTACACGCACACTCGCACGCACAACACGCGCGCACACGCGCTCACGCGCGCACGACCACAAACCACACCCCAACGCACACCACACGCACACGCACGCACACACACACGCACACGCACACGCGCGCACGCGCGCACAGCGCGCCGCACGCACGGGCACGCACGCACACAGACACACACACACGCACACGCACACGACACACGCACACGCACACGCACACCCCCCGCACCACGCCACAACCGCACAGTTAGACCACACTTAAACGCGCGCGCACACGCACACACGCGCACAAACGCCACACCGCACACCCGCACGCACACGCGCGCACACGCACACGCACACGCACAGTTAGACGCACACTTAAACGCACGCGCACACGCACACGCACGCGCACGCGCACACGCACACGCACACGCACACGCACACGCACACGCACACGCGCGCATGCGCGCACGCGCGCACGCACACAAACCACACCCACCCGGCACACCCACCGCACACGCACACACACACGCACACGCACACGCCACGCACGCGCCCCCGCCACAGTTGGACGCAACTCAAACGTACACGCACACGCACACGCACGCGCACGCGCACACGCACAACACACACACACTACACGCACACGGCGCACGCACACCGCGCGCACGCGCGCACGCGCGCACGCACAAAAACACCACCCACACGCACACCCACACGCACACGCACACGCACACGCACACGCACACGCACACGGCACACGCGCGCACGCGCGCCACGCGCGCACGCACGCACGCACGCACGACACACACCCAAAACGCACACGCACACGCACACGCACACGCCACGCACACGCACACGCCACACGCCACACGCACACGCACACACGCACACACACACACACACACACACACGCGCGCGCACGCCACACGCCACACGCCACACGCACACGCACGCGCAGGCGCGCACGCACACGCACACGCCACACGCCACACGCCACACGCCACACGCACACGCATACGCACGCGCACACGCATACGCACGCGCACACGCACACCCACACGCCACACGACACGCGCACACGCACACGCACACGCACACGCACACGCACACGCACACGCACACGCACACGCACTCGCACTCGCACTCGCACTCGCACTCGCACACGCACACGCACACGCACACGCACACGCACACGCACACGCACACGCACACGCACACGCACACGCACACGCACTCGCACACGCACACGCACTCGCACACGCACACGCACACGCACACGCACACGCACACGCACACGCACACGCACACGCACACGCACACGCACACGCACACGCACACGCACACGCACACGCACACGCACACGCACACGCGCACGCGCACGCACAACACGACGCTCGCACACACCACACACGCAAACACACACACACACACGTACACACACACACACACACGCACGCACGCACGCACGCACGTACATGCACGCGCTCGCGCACCCACGCACGCACGCACGCTCACACGCACACGCACACACACCCGCGCACACACACACACACACGCACGCGCGCACGCACGCACGCACACACACACATCCACACACCCACACACACAGGCACGTACACACGCACGCACGCACGCACGCACACACACACACACACACTTCCACAGACACAGACACACACACACACGCACGCACGCACGCTTGCACGCACGCGCGCGCGCACGCACGCACGCAGGCACGCTCGCACGCACACACATACACACACAAACGCATCAGGCATACATGCACGACGTCAGAATTCTCTAGACCAGAGGGAGTGCGCAGGGGGTGGTCCTGGTCCGTCAGCGCGGCCTCTCTCCACGCCAGCGTCGCAGGGCGCAGCAGACGTGGCACGTCCTCGACACCACATGGGGTGCGCAAGGGGTGGTCCCTCGGCGCGGCCTCTATCCACTCCAGGTTCGCGGCGCGTACCAGGCGTGGCATTCCCTGGACGCCACAGGGGGTGCGCAGGGGGGGGGTCCCTCGGCGCAACCTCCATCTACGCCAGGGTCGCAGCGCGTAGCAGGCGTGGCACTTCCTCGACACCATGGGGGATGCGCAGGGGATGGTCACTCGGCGCGACCTCTATCCACACCAGGGTCGCAGCGCGTGGCAGAAATGGCATTTCTTCGACGCCACATGGGGGTGCGCAGGAGGTGGTCCCTCGGCGCGGCCTCTATCCACACCAGGGTCGCAGCGCGCGGCAGGCATGGCATGGCATACGGGGTGCGCCGGCATGGGGCGGGTCGCCATGCGGACGCAGCCGCTGGAGCCTTCGGTAGACCGCTCTATGGGGCCAAGAGACGTGTGAGGGGTGCGCCGGCATGGGGCCGGTCACCATGCGGACGCAGCCAGTGGGACTTTCGGTGGAGCTCCCCATGGGGCCACGAAGCGTGTGACGGTTGCGCCGAAAGTGGGCAGGTCACCATGCGGACGCAGCCATTGGGGCCTTCGGTGGAGCTCCCTATGGGGCCACAAAACGTGCGAGGGGTGCACCGAAAAGGGGCGGACGACCATGCGGACGCAGCCATTGGCGCCTTCGGTGGAGTCTCCTATCGGGCCATTAAAAATGCGTGAGGGCTGCGCCGAAATTAGGGCGGGTCACCATGCGGACGCAGCCTCTGGAGCCTTCGGTGGAGCCCCGTATGGGGCCATGAAACGTGTGAGGGGTGCGCCGACATGGGGCGGGTCACCATGCGGACGCAGTGGTTGGGGTTTTCAGCAGACCGCCCAATGGGACCAAGAGACGTGTAAAGGGTGCGCCGAAATTAGGGCGGGTCACCATGCGGACGCAGCCGCTGGGGCCTTCGGTTGACCGCCTTATGTTGCCAAGAGACATGTGAGGGGTGCGCCGGCATGGGGCGGGTCACCATGCGGACGCAGCCACTGGCACCTTCGGTGGAGTTCCCTATGGGGCCACGAAGCGTGTGAGGGTGCGCCAAATTGACGAGGGAAGAGGATGAAGAGGAAGATGAGAGGATGAAGGAGGGGGAGGAGGAACAAGGAAACGCGCGGCGCTGCGAAATCAAAACGAGGACCAACACACAGCAGGATTGGGAAAACCAGGCGGATGAGGAAGTGGAGGGAGGAGTGAGGAGGAATTTGGAGAGAAGGAGAGGAGTGAGGAGGAGGAGGAGGAGGAGGAGGAGGAGGAGGAGACTCGCGGCGCTGCGAATTCAGAGCGAGGACCTGACACACAGGAGGGTTGGAGAAAACACATCGTCGGATGATTGGGCAGACAAGACCAAAGAGTGGCATAGGCCTAAAGTGTCTGGGATCCCCACGGACTTCTTGCTGGCGGCGATCGAGGGAGGAAACTGCGAAGGAGACAGCCTTCTCAGAAGGCGGCGGGACTTCTCATAATCCCTCGCGCCTTCTGAGAAGTTTTCTGCTTCTCCCAGGAAGGCTCAGGAAGCTTCTCAGAAGGCTGGGAGACTTCCGAGCCTTCTGAGAAGGCCCGCTCCTTATCGTTTCCCCCCCCCAGGCTCGCCGCCGAGCTTTGGGTAGGGAACGAACAATGACGTAAACATAAAAACTCGGAGGTCCGCGCGGATTTCTTGGATCCGCGCTGGACCCCCTCCCTGGAGCGCGGAGCGCGCCAGCGGCGGCGCCAGAGGCGCCGCCAGGGGGGTCCAGCGCCGATCTGAGAAATCCGCGCGCACCTCCGGGTTTTTATGGTTATGTCATTGTTCGTTCCCCTATTGGGTGCTCCTTCACAGGTGGTCGGGGTCATACAGAGGATCGGCGAGGGCGTCGCCTGGGCCTACGGGCAGCACCGGAGCAAGCCCGGCCTTGGGGAGCGTTTCGCCCAGCCGTTCGTGGACCACCACATCAAGGATCGGCGCTAGGGGTGGGGAAGGCGGAGGAGGAGGAGGAGGCGGAGGAGGAGGAGGAGGAGGGGGAGGATGGGGGGGAGGAGGAGGAGGAGGAGGAGGAGGAGGAGGAGGAGGAGGAGGAGGAGGAGGAGGAGGAGGAGGAAGAAATAGCAGAAGCAGAAGCAGAAGCAGTAGCAGATGAAGAAGAAAACGAAGAGGAGCAGAAGGTGGAGGAGGAGGAGGAGGAGGAGGAGCAGAAGGTGGAGGAGGAGGAGGTGGAGGAGGAGGAGGAGGAGGAGGAAATGGACGAGGGGGAGGAGGAGAGGGAGAGGAGAGGCGGCACCGCCACCACCACCACCAGCGGGCTTCCTCCAGCTGCACGACTCCAGGCCTCTCAGGCGGGGTCCGAGCAGACGGGGTCGAAGGATCGCGCTGCATCGCCGATGCATCGGCGATGCGGCTCGACGTGGAGCCCGATCTTCTCCACGCCGACGCCGCCGATGCACCCGCAAGCATCGCCGATGCATCGACAATGTATCGACGACGTACCGACGATGCATCGTCGATGCATCGGCGATGCGGCCAGATTCTGCGACCACCCATCAACTCGGACCTCATCTAGAAGGCCTCTCAACGATGCCCCCCCAGAGCTGGAGATTGGAGATGCCTAGAGCGGGACGCGGCAAAAAAAGTGGGGGTGCACACCGGGCACACCACCGGGAGGGCCCGTCCATGGCTCCGTGCGGTGGTGTTGGTGGTTTCGGATCCCTCTGCTCCTGCAAGGAGTGGTTGAAGGCGCTCCTCGTGGAGAAGAGACCACTGCGGCGGGAGAATCAGAACCGGCTTGTCGGCCAGATCCTGCAGACGATCCACATCCTCTTGCAGGCCACGCCCCCAGACTCGATGCTGTTCTGCAACCTCACCGCGGGATGGTACCTCAACGAGGTAGTTTCCGCCAAGATTGACTTCTTGGACAATGAAGACCTGCTCCCTTTGTGGATGACGGTGGTGAAAGATATTGCGACCATGCTGGACAGGGACAATCTGATGTTGTTTTTCGACCCTTCTAGCGATAAGCCATTTCCTATTTTCTCGGAAGCTTGTCGTTATTACCACCACCCAGTGTCTCAGGTGCGCACTCATGTACAGGCCACGTCGCTAGAGATTTTCCTGAAGCTTCGCGACAAGAGCTTTTGGAACGAACCATTGTTCCACAAGGTGTTACAGGAGTCGTCCGTCTTCTTCACGCACGTGTGCTGCCTGCTGCGCGACTTCTGGCAGATGGCCGACGAAGCAGTGCACACGCAGGAACGCAGGAATGTCAGGAGCGCTCTGTATATCCAAAACGACATCCTCATGTACGTTAATGACATATTCATGTGTGAAATCCCCCAGCTCACTGCAATTCTCCAGGAAAAGCTGCTGCGCTTCGCGATTCTGCCAGTGCTGGTGCGGTCAATCCTGAGGCCACGGGACCCGCCTACTATAAGAGAGCAGCAGCAGGATTTGCTTTCGGCGCCCACTGCGTGGTACCTGCTGCACGACATGCTGGTCACACTGCAGAGCTCCCCGGTCTTCACGGCAGTGTCGCTGGCGTTGTTGAGAAAAGATGTTCCAGAGGAGGTCTTAAAGCTGGTGACCGAGCACCACTCCAGGACGCCGATCACGTATTTCAAGACCCAGGCAGAGTGGGGTGGCACCATCCGACCGGCCCCAGACCTGACTGGCGACGTTGCTTCAGACGAGGTGTTGTACGCAATGCCTCGGGAGCACTTAGTACAATTGCTGGAAAACCGGGGACACATGGTGAAGAACAGCCTCCTTGATGCGCTGTTGGAGAGACTGCAGGGGCTTAGCCGCAGTGAATCGGGCCTATCGGCAGTCGCCGACTCGCTGCTTCTGGACACTACCACGCTCTTGCTCCGCACGTTGCGTGCTGGCTCCGAGGTGCTCGACGAGGATAAGCCACGAGCAACTAGGCTCCAGATTTACAGACCTGCCCAGAGGCCTCCCACCTTAGAGGTTGCAGGGGGCGTGCTTGCTAGGAAGGCTTTTTTGGTGTTCTCTCTCTCTCTCTCTCTTTTTTTTGTTTTCTCTCTCTCTCTCTCTTTCTCCTGTTTAAGAAAACTCCAGACGTCTTAGAAAGCTGGTACCTCAGTCATGGCCCCTCGTGCTGGCCTCCACGAGGACGTCGCCGAGAGGCTCTCGGCGTCCACCTGCGAGGTACTGGCACAGCATCGGCAGCTGCCGTGGCCGACTCTGGAGGCGGCGTTGCTGGCGCTGCGAGAGCTGATTGCGGTCATCGACAACCCGCAGGGGCGCGCGAGGCGCATTCTGGCGCCCTACTTGCGAGACAAGGCTCGCAGGCTCAGAAGTCATCCCTCATGGCGTCTGCCCTGCGTTGCTCAGAACTGACTGCTTCTGTTGAGACCGCAGAGCGGAGTCCACGGCGGGTCCTCGCCAGGAAACTAGCCCCCAGTGTTCCAAATCAGGGTGTGTGTGTGTATATGTGTATGTCTGTGTGTTTGTGTGTGTCATCAGTGTGAAAGCGCGTGTGTGTGTGTGTGTGTGTGTGTGTAAGTGTGTGTAGGTGTGTGTGTGTGGGTATGTGTGCGTGGTGTGAGGTAGTGGCTGTGGTTGTGGCTGTGGTTGCGGTAGTGGCAAGTTGGTTGTGGTTGGTAGTGGCAAGTGGTAAATGGTGTGGTTGTGGTTGTGTGTGCGTGGGAATGTATGTGTGTGTGTGTCTGCGTGTGTGTGTGTGTGTCTGTGCGTGCGTGTGAGTGTGAGTGTGTGTATGTGTGCGTGTGTGTGTGGTGCGTGCGTGTGTGCGTGTGTTTATGTGTGTGTGCTTGTGTGTGGGCTTGGGGAGGGAGCGCGTGTGGGTGTGTATGTGTGCGTGCGCATGCGTGCGTGCGTGCGTGCGTGTGTGTGTGTGTGTGTGTCTGTGTGTGTGTGTGCGCGTGTGTGTGTGTGTGTGTGTGCGTGTGTGGGTGCGTGCGGTTGTGCGTGCGTGTGTGCGTGCGTGGTTACGTGCGTGTGTGTGTGTGTCTGTGTGTGTGTGTGTGTGTGTCTGTGTGTGTGTGTGGTGTGTGTGTGTGTGTGTCTGCGTGTACGTGTGTGCGTGTGTGCGTGTGTGCGTGGGTTCGTGTCTGTGTGTGTCTGTGTGTGTGTGTGTGTCTGTGTGTTTGTGTCTGCGTGTGCGCGTTTGTGTGTGTGTGTCTGTGTGTGTGTCTGGGTGTGTCTGTGTGTGTGCCTGGGTGGTTCTGTGTGTGCAGCTGTGTGTGTCTCTGTGTGTGTGTCTGTGTGTTTTTGCGCGTGCCTGTGCATGTCTGTGTGTAGGTGCGTGTGTGTGTGTGTGTGTGTCTGTGTGTCTGTGTCTGTGTGCGTGTGTCTGTGTGTATGTCGGTGTGTGTGTGTCTCTGTGTGTCTGTGTGGGTCTGTGTGTGTGTGTTTGTGTGTGTTTGTGTGTCTGTGTGTGTCTGTGTATGTTTGTGTGAATGTGTGTTTGTAAGCGTGTGGGTGTGTCTCTGTGTGTCTGTGAGTGCCTGTGTGTCTGTGTCTGTCTGTGTGTGTGTGTGTGTTTGTGTCTGTGTGTGTGTGCGTCTGTGTGTGTGGCTGTGTGTCTATGTTTGTGTCAGTGTGTGTTTGTCTGTGTGTGTCTGTGTGTGAGTGTGTGTGTGCTTGTGTGTGCCTGTGTGTGTGTATGTATGCGTCTGTGTGCGTTTGTCTGTGTGTGTGTGTCGGTGTGTGTCTGTTTGTGTATGCGTGTGTGTGTGTGTCTCTGCTTGTGGGTTTGTTCCCTACCTAGGCTCTGCCTATAAGGGTTCTTACTTTATATGCTTAAAGGGCCGGGCAGTGTTGCCCGCCCCGGGCGGTTGCCCCGGCATCCGCCCCGCGGTTCCCCCAGTTACGCCTCCTTAGCTTAGCGTTGCTTATCTCATCTTAGCTTAGCTTATTTCATCTCATCTTCACTTAGCTTCATCTTAGCTCAGGTGTGTCTTAGCTTAGCGTACCTTCATCTTAGCTTCGCTGAGCTTTGGCATAGCAGAGCACAGCATAGCATAGCGTAGCACAGCATAGCGCAGCGCAGCATATCATAGCAAAACCCAGCGTAGAACCTAGGCTCTGCCTAGAGGCTTAGCTTAGATTTGCTTAGCTTAGCTTAGCATAGCGCATCGCTGCATTAGCATAACATAGCATAGCATAACATAGCCAATCATATTATAGCATAGCATAGCGCAGCATAACATAACATAACATAGCATAGCATTAGCATAGCATAGCATAGCGCAGCTTAGCATAGCATATCATATCATAGCGCAGCATAACACAGCGCAGCATGACATATCATAGCTTAGCATAGCACAGCATAGCATAGCGCAGCATATCATATCATAGCAGAGCGCAGCATAGCATGGCATATCATAGCATAGCATAGCATAGCAACTAATGCTGCGTTCCTAGGGGCTCCAACTTCTAGGTAGGGTCGCACTGGGGTAATGTGTGTGGTGTGTGTGTCTATGTGTGTATGTGTGTTGGTGTGTGTGTCAGTGCATGTCTGTGTGTGCGCGCGTGTATCTATGCGTGTGTGTGAGTGTGCGTGTTTTTTGTACGCGTGCGTGTGTGTGCCTGTTTGTGTCTGTGTGTGTGGATGTGTGTATGTGTGTGTCTGTGTGTATCTGTGTGTGTGTCTGTGTGGGTCTGCGTGTGCGTGTGCGTGTGTGTGTGTGTGTGTCTGTGTGTGTCTGGGTATGTCTGTGTGTGTCTGTGTGTGCCTGGGTGGTTCTGTGTGTGCGTCTGTGTGTGTCTGTGTGTGTGTGTCTATGTGGTTTTCTGCGGGTCCCTATGCATGTTTCTGTGTCTGTGTGTGTGTGCCTGTTTGTGTCTGTGTCTCGGTGCGTGTGTCTGGGTGTGTGTCTTTCTGTGTTTGTGTGTCTGTATGTGTCTTTGTGCGTCTGTGTGTGTGTCTTTGTGTGTTTGTGTGTGTCTGTGTGTGTCTGTGTATGTTTGTGTGTGTCTGTGTGCGTTTGGGCGTGTCTGTATGTGTCTGTGTGTGATTATGTGTCTGTGTGTGTGTCTGTGTGTGCTTGTTTGTGTTTGTGTCTGTGTGAGTCTGTGTCTGTTTGTGTGTCTGTGTTTGTGTGTGCCTGTCTGTGTGTGTGTGTTTGTGCGTGAGTGTTTGTTTGGCATTGTGTGTGTCTGTGTGTGTGTCAGTGTGTGTGTGTGTGCGTCTGCGTGCGTACGCGTGCGTTTGTGTGCGTGTGTGTGTGTGTGTGTGTGTGTGTGTGTGCGTGCGTGTGTGTGTGTGTGTGTGTGTGTGTGTGTGTGTGAGCGTGTGTGTGTGTGTGTGTGTGTGAGTGTGTGTGTGGGGGTTTGTATGTGTGTTTCTGCGTGTGCCTGTGCACCTGTCTACATGTGTATATGTTTATATGTATGTATGCTTGTGCGCGCCTGTGTGTTTAAGTGTGTTTGTTCGATTGTGTGTTTGTGTGTTTGTGTCTGTCGGCGGTGGGGGTGCGTGGGTGTGTGTAGCGGTGTGTGGGTATGTGTTTGTGGGTTTTGTGTGTGAGTCTGTGAGTGTCTGTGTATGTCCGTTTGTGCGTGTCTGTGTAAGTCTGTGTGTGCATCTGTATGTGTCTGTGTTTGTCGGCGTGTGTCTGTGTTTCTGGTTGTGTGTGTGTGTGTGTTTGTGTGCGTCTGCGTGCGTCTGTGTGCGTGTTTGTGCGCGCGCGTGTGTGTGCGTGTGATTGTGTGTGTGTGTGTGTCTGTGCGTGTGTTTGCCTTGGTGCGTGTCTTTGTCAGTGTTCATAGTTGTATGTGTGTTGTTGCGCGTGTGTTTGTGAGTGTCTGTGTGTGTGTGTGTGTCTGTGTGTGTCTTTGTTTGTCTGAGTGTGTGTGTGTGTCCATCCGTGTGTGTTTGTGTGTGTGTGTGTCTGTGTGTGTAGGTGTGTGTATTTGTGTGTGTGTGTGTCTGTGTGTGTGTGTCTGTGAGTGTGTCTATGTGTGCCTGTGTGTGTTGGCCCGCCGCGCAGTGCCTGCAGCTCGGGCTGGTCCGTGTTGGCCTTCCCCGTTCTTCTCGCACGCGCCTCGCAGGCCCGCCGGTCTCGGCGCGTTGGCTCATCCCTGGACTGCTCGGTCCACCGGGTTGGGCTACGCTTCGTTTCTCGCCACCGCCTGCTGCAGCTCCTGGCTGCTGCCCCAGCATCAGCTCAGGGCAGTTCAGTACACCCTGTGCCGGAGCTGCCCCCCCCCCCCCAGCGCTCCCCCCGCCGCCGCCAGCTGCTCTGTGTGGCCCGACTTCATCTCTTCCCGTTGCGCCGGGGCTCCTCCTCCTCCTTCCATGCGCTGCGGCTCTAATTTGCATCCTGTTGCTCCCCCATCTGCTGCTCAGTCCACTGAGCCGCGTTTCCCCCAGCGTCAGCTCAGCGCAGTTCAGCGCAGTTCAGTGCAGCTCAGTGCAGCTCAGCGCGCTGGCTCCCCCCCCTCGCCGTCCCTTGCCACAACGGGTGCCTTGCCTGAGCGGGCCCGGCTTCCTCTCTTCCTGTCGTGCTGGGGCTCCTCCTCTTCCTCCGAGCATGGCGGCTTTAATTTGCATACAGCGTGTCCCCTGTTGCCAATCCGCCGGAGCAGCCACCGTCTGCCCAGCCGCCGACACAAAAAAACCTGTGTGTGTGTGTCTGTGCGTGTCTGTGTGTGTTTCTGTGTGTCTGTGTGTGTGCCAGTGTGTGTGTGTGTGTGTGTGTCTGTGTGTCTGTGTCTCTGTGCGTGTGTCTGTGTGTGTGTCGGTGTGTGTCTGCGTGTGCCTGTGTGTGTCTCTGTGTGCCTGTGTGTGTCTGTGTGTGTCTGTGTGTGTTTGTGCGTCTGTGTGTGATTGTGTATGTTTGTGTGTGTGTCGGTGTGCGTTTGGGTGTGTCTCCGTGTGTCTGTGTGTGCCTGTGTGTTCCTGTGTGTCTGTGTGTGTGTGTCTGTGTGTGTGTGTGTCTGTGTGTGTGTGCGTGAGTGTTTGTGCGTGTCTGTGTTTGGCATTGTGTGTGTGACAGTGTGTGTCTCTGTGTTTGCGTCTGCGTGCGTCTGCGTGCGTTTGTGTGCGTGTGTGTATGTGCGTGTGTGTGTGTGTGAGCGTGTGTGTTTGGGGGGGGGGGTTGTGTGTTTCTGCGTGTGCCTGTGCATCTGTGTCTATGTGTGTACGTGTATAGGTATGTTTGTGTGCGTGTGTGTGTTTGTGTGTGTGTGTGTTTGTGCGATTGTGTGTTTGTGTGTTTGTGTTTTCGTGTGTTTGTGTTTGTGCGGCGGGGGGGGGGGTGCGTGGGTGTGTGTAGCGGTGTGTGTGGACTGTGTGCGTGGTGGTTGCGTGTGTTGTGTGTGTGTGTGTGTTGCGTGCGTTGTTCCCCGATCAGCGCTTGCCTCTGTAGGGGTCCTAGCGGATTGAAGGGTTAGGTGAGGTGCGTCGCCGATTTCGGTGGCCAGGCCCGGGGTGCCCGGGTGCCCGGCGGTGCCCGGGTGCCCGGGTGGCCGGTGAGGTGCGTGGCCGATTTCGGTGGCTGGGCCCGGGTGCCCAGATGCCCGGGTGCCCGGGTGCCCCGGGGTGCCCGGGTGCCCGGGGGTGCCCAATAGCCCAATGGCCCAGTAGCCCCATAGCCCTATAGCAGTATAGCCCTATAGCCCTGTAGCCCTATAGCCTTATATCCCTATAGCCCTAATAGCCTTATATCCCTATAGCCCTATAGCCCCATAGCCCATATAGCTCTATAGCCCCATAGCCCTATAGCCCTATAGGTCACAGTCCTATAGTCCGATAGCCCATATAGCTCTATAGCCCCATAGCCCTATAGCCCTATAGCCCGATAGCCCTATAGCCCTATAGCCCGCCCTATAGCCCGATAGCCCTATAGCCCTATAGCCCTGTACCCCGAGAGCCCTATAGCCCGATAGCCCTATTACAAAGGGAGCAGTTGGAAGATAACAAAAAATTGGATTGGGTTTTTTTCTCCGGTATCATGTGTGTGTTGCGTGCGTGTTGTGTGGATTGTTTGTTGTGTGCGTGGTGTGTGTATGTTTGTTTGTGTGTGTGTGTGTGTTGTATGTTGTGTGTGCTGTGTGTTGTGTGCTGTGTGTGTGCGTGAATGTGTGTGTGTGTGTGCTGGTGTGTGTGTGTGTGTGCCTGTGAGTGTCTGTGTGTGTGTTTGTTTGTTTGTGTATTTGCGTGTGTTTGGATGTGTGTTTGTGTGTAAGTTTGTGTGTGTGCTTGTGTGCGTGTGTGCGTAAGTGCGTGCGTGCGTGCGTGCATGTGTGCGTGTGTGCGCGTTCGTGCGTGCGTGTTTGCGTTCGCGTGTGCGTGTGTGAGTGTGTGTGTGTGTGTGTTTGTGCGTGTGCGTGTGTGTGTGTGTTGTGTGTGTGTGTGCGCGTGTGCGTGCTTGCGTGCGTGCGTGTCTGCGTGCGTGCGCGCGCGCGCGCTTCCGTGCGTGTGTGTGTGCGTGTGCGTGTGCGTGTGCGTGTGTGTGCTTGTGTGTGCTTGTGTGTGTGGGTGTGTCTGCGTGTGCGTGTGGGTGTGTGTGTGTGTGTGTGTTTTTGCGTGTTTGTTTGCGTGCGTGTGTGCGTGTGTGTGTGTGTGCGTGTGTGCGTGTGTGCGTGTGTGCGTGTGTGAGTGCGTGCGTGCCGGCGTTCGTGCGTGCGTGCGCATGTGCGTGCGTGCGTGCGTGTGCGTGTGCGTGAGTGAGTGTGTGTGTGTGCGTTTGCGTGTGCGTGTGTGTGGTGTGCGTGTGTGTGTGTGTGTGTGCGTGTGTGTGTGTGCGTGTGCATGTGCGTGCGTGCGTGCGTGTGCGTGTGCGTGTGAGTGTGTGTGCGTTTGCGTGTGCGTGTGTGTGCGTGTGCGTACGTGTGTGTGTGTGTGTGCGTGTGTGTGTGTATGGGTGTGCGTGCGCGTGTGAGTGTATGTGTGTGTGAGTGTGTGTGTGTGTGTGTGCTGGTGTGTGTGCGTCTGTGTGTGTGTGTGGGCTTGTGTGTGTGAGTGTGTGTGTGTGTGTGCGCGTGTGTGTGCGCGTGTGTGTGGTGCGTGTGAGTGTATGTGTGTGTGTTTGTTTATGTGTATGTGCTTATTTGTGTTTGAGTGTGCGTGTGTGTGTGTGTGCGTGTGTGTGTGTGTGTGCGTGTGTGCGTTTGCTTGTTTGTGTGTGTGTGTGTGTGTGTGTGTGTGTGTGTGTGTGTGTGTGTGTGTGTGTGGGCGCGTGTCTGTGCGCGCGTGTGTGTGTGGTGTGTGCGTGTGTGTGTGTGGGTGTGTGTACGTGTGTGTGCTAGTGTGTGTGTGCTTGTGTGTGTTTGTGTGTGGTTGTGTGTTTCTGTGTCTGTTGTTCGGTATGTGTGCGTTTGTGTGTTTGTGCGTTTGTGTGTTTGTGTGTGTGTGTGTTCGTGTGTTTGTGTGTGTGTGTTTGTGTGTTTGTCTTTGTGTCTTTGTGTGTGTGGTTGCGTGTTTGTGTGTTTGTGTGTGTGTGCTTGTGTGTGTTGTGTGTGTTGTGTGTGCGTGTTTTTTTGTGTGTGTGTTTGTTTGTGTATTTGTGTATTGTGTGTTTGTGTTGTTTGTGTTGTTTGTGTCGTTTGTGTGTGTGTGCGTGTGTGTGTGTGTGTGGTTGTGTGATGTGTGTGTTTGTGTGTTTTCGTGTTGGTGTTTTTGTGTGTTTGTGTGTGTTTGTGTTTGTGTGTGTGTGCTATATGTGTGCTTGTGTGTGTGCATGTTTGTGTTGTGTGTTGCGTGTGTTGTGTGTGTGTGTTTGTGTGCGTGCTTGTGTTTGTGTGTGTGTGTGTTGCATTTTTGTGTTTGTGTGTGTGTGTGTGTTCGTTGTGTGTGGTGTGTTGTGTCGTGTGTGTGCTGTGTGTTGTGTGAGCTGAGTGTTGTGTGTGTTTTGTATGTTGTGTGTGTTGTGCGTTTGAGTTTTTGTCTTATGTGTGCTGTGTGTTGTGCGTGTGTGCTGTGTTTTCGTGTTATGCTTTTGTGTTGTGTGCTGTGTGTTGTGTGTGGTGTGTGTGTGTGTTATGTGTGTGTGTCGTGTGTGTAATGTGTTGTGTGTGTTGTGTGTTGTGTGCTGTGTGTTGTGTGTGTGTTGTGTGTTTGTGTTGGTGTTGTGTGTTGTGGTTGTGTGTGTGTGCGTGTGTTGTGGTGTGTGGTGTGTGTGTCTGTTTTTGTGTGTTGTGTGTGTGTGTTTTGTGCGTGTGCTGGGGGGGGGGGAAGGGGGGGGCGTGTGTGGGGGGGTGATCGTGTGTGTGGGTGTGTGGGTGTGTGGGTGTGGGGTGTGTGGGCGTGGCCGTGGCCGCGGGCGCGGGCGCGGGCGGGTGGGCGGGCTGGCGGGCGGGCGGGCGGGCGGGTGGGCGGGTGGGTGGGTGGGAGGTGTGGTGTGTGGTGTGTGGTGTGTGGTGTATGGTGTGTGGTCTGTGGTGTGTGGTGTGCGGTGTGCGGTGTGATGTGTGTGAGTAATCTTGACGTCCCTGGGGGGGCGGCGTGGGGGCTCCAGGGGAGGGGCATCGTGAGGCTGTCTTTGGGCTCGTGGCGCTGCTCTGGCCAGGTCCTGGAGCCGCCTCGCGACCGCCTCGGAGGCAGTGCGACGCCACCCCGGGACATTTGCACGGTGGCGCCGGTGTGCCCTCCAGGGGGCGCCACGGGAGCCAGTTTGGAAGACCTCGACCTGCAAAACGGGCATGGAGAAGTGACGTTGCTTCACTCAAGGGCAGAAAAAACGCCCCTACCCTAGTTAACGAGGCGCTGTGCGCTGAAACTCCTGTGGGCTGACAGGGTAAGCCCTGCGTGGTGTGCCGCGCCCTGGCGGCTCTAGGCTTTGGGGGGTTCCCAGGAGGTTTACAGACCGCGCACTTGTAACCCAGGGTAGGGTCGCAGGCCTAAAGATTGACACCAACACCAAGATCGGCGGTGTGCCTCCGCCGAGGGAAGAGGATCCCGATCTCGGTGACGGTGGTAATATTCTGCCTTCTAGGGTGACCGAAATATTACCACCAACACCGAAATCTAGGATCGTCTTCCCCGTTGTGGAGGCACCCCCGTGTGTCGGTGTTGGTGCCCATTTCCAGGCCTCCAATCGGGTCGTTTTTTCATCCCTCAATTCGCGCAGTGTGCTCCGCGGCCCGGGCTGGCCTGGGCCCAAAAAGGCTGCTCTTCTCTCTGCGCGGGCGGCCGCGCGAGAAGATGGGGAAGCCCAGAAAACATGGGAAGATATGGGGAATTCTTTTTATTTGTGTGTATTTATTTGTGTGTCCCAGGGCCCCTTCAGTTTCGCGGCCTGGGGCTGGCCTGGGCCAAAAAAGGCGGCCCTTCTCTCTGCGCAGGGCGGCCGCGCGAGAGCGCCAGGGAGCTCACGGCGCCTCGCGACCTCGGTCGTCGCGCACGGCGAAGGGCGGGGTCCGCCGGCGGAGGGGCGGCGGAAGGCGGTGGAGGCAGAGGGAAGTCGGGCCCGTCCCCCCTGCAGGGAGGGGGATTTTCGACGAAAGATAGGAAATACTCAAAAATAACAAAAAATATTCCAAAACTAGTCTGGAGACTTTTTTTTTTTTCTTTCTCCTTTTTTTGTGTAAATACATAAGTTATATATATAATAATAATAAAAAAAACCTGTTTGGAGTATTTTTGGGGTATTTTTTTATTTTTCGTCGAAAATCCCCCTGTAGGGGGACAGGCCCGACTGAAAGGCAGAGGTGGGACGTCAGCTGCCGACGTCTCACGCCTGCTTCCGCCGTGTCCCGAGTCCAGACCTTAGCCGCCCCGAGCCCAGACACGCCAACGGTCGGCACCTCCGGGCTCGGGGCCGCCCGCGCTGGGCGCCCGAGCCCGCGAGAGGTGCTGGTGCCGCTCGCGACGGAGCTGCTGCAGGCGGCCAAGCCTCCGGGGTCCGACTCGTGGCTGCAGGAGTTCACGGAGCAGTGGGCCGCGCAGCACGCCTCCCTGACCGAGCTGGCGGCAGCGGCGCGCCAGCGCGACCTGGTCGAGCCGGGCGTGGGGCTCGTCGAGGCCCCCGGGGTTCCGACGGGCCGAGCGCGGTGCCTACGGGTCCTGCTCGGCGCGTGGCACCTGGAAGGCTGCCTGCTGGGAGGCGCGGACAGGCTGTTCGACCGGATGCCGGGGTTCAGCGACGCCGACGTCGAGGAGTTCTCGAGCTACGAGCCAGGGGTCTCCGTGCACATCGGGAAGATGAACCGGGTGAAGTGCCATGCCAGGACGGCCCGCCATGGCGAGCCGGAGGCGCTGCAGGCGGAGGAGAAGGAGGAGGAGGAGGCGGAGGAGGAGGGACGAGGAGGAGGAGGATGAGGAGGAGGAGGAGGAGGGGTGATGATGATGATGATGATGATGATGATGATGATGATGAGGAGGAGGAGGAGGAGGAGGAGGAGGAGGAGGATGATGCTGATGATAATGATGATGCTGATGATGCTGATGATGCTGATGATGCTGATGCTGATGATGCTGATGCTGATGCTGATGCTGATGCTGCTGCTGATGCTGATGCTGCTGCTGTTGATGATGCTGATGATGCTGATGCTGATGATGAAGCTGATGATGATTCAGATGGTGGTGGTGGTGGTGGCGGTGGTGGTGGTGATGGTGGTGTTGATGGTGATGGTGATGGCGATGGTGATGGTGATGATGATGATGATGATGATGATGATGATGATGATGATGATGATGATGATGATGATGATGATGATGCTGCTGATGATGATGATGATGATGATGATGATGATGATGATGATGTTGACCATGATGATGACGATGCTGATGATGCTGATGATGCTGATGAGGATGAGGAGGATGATGAGGATGAGGAAGAGGATGTGGATGAGAATGAGGATGAGGATGAGGATGAGGATGAGGATGAGCAGGAGGGGATGGATGGATGGGCTGGTCCTGGAGGCATTGTATCTGCTGCCGGTCCAGTCTTCTCTCGTCCTCGTCCGCCCAGACGACCAGAAGCCCTTCTGGGCGCTCCCAGTCGTAGCCGAGTCGTTGCTCCACGTGCGTCTGCTGGCCAGCACCGACAAAATGGGCCCCCTGGAGCAGATCCCTTCCCCCGGGTCGAACGGTGACGAGCTGCAGCGGATTCTGAAGCTGGAGGTCTCGTCGCCTCGGTCGCCATTCCTCAGGTCATTCGGCCTGGACGGCGTGGGCAAGGATCGGATCGGCTGCAGCCTGGTGGCTGCGCCACCTCCGGGCGGCCAGATGGACCCCATGACCATGTCGGTCCCTGTGGCGCCGGGCGCAGCCCCAGGAGTTTGATGGGGGGCGGGGGCGTGCAGAAAAGTGTGAGCATATGTTATGTTTGTTCTTGTGCTGCTGGAGGAGGAGGAGGAAGAGGAGGAGGACGAGGAGGAGGAGGAGGAGGAGGAGGAGAGACGAGGAGGAGGAGGAGGACGAGGCGGACGAGGAGGAGGAGGAGGAGGAGGAGGAGGAGGAGGAGGAGGAGGAGGAGGAGGAGGAGGAGTAAGAAGAAGAAGAAGAAGAAGAGGAGGAGGGGAAAGTGGAGGAGGCAGAGGAGGAGGACAGAGGAAGGATGAGTTTGCTTTCTACCATGAAGGGGGTCCCTCGTAGCGTTGGCAAGACGGGGATCTGCAAACTGGCCAGGATGCGGTCAAGACTAAACAGGGGCAAATTCTTGAGAGGGTTCTGGACAGGAGGAGGAGGAGGAGGAGGAGGCACGAGGCAAACTGTATGAGGAAGGAGGACGACGAAGGTGAGGATAGAAGATGGAGGAGGGATGAGGAAGCTGGAGGAAAGACGGAGGGAAGGAGGAGGTAGGAGGAGGGTGAAGGAGGAGGGGAGGAGGACACGGAAGAGGAGGGAAACGAAGGATGCTGGAGGGAAGATGAAGGAAGGAGGAGGGCGGGAAGGAGTGGGCAGGGGAGGAGGGGAGGGAGAGAGTGTGTGGAGGCCGTCCGCTGGTTTTGTCCTGAGGGAGTCTGGGGCCGTCTTGGAGTAGCCTGGGGACTAATATGCGCCTTCAGGGGTCCAGTTGGGCGGAATGAGCGGCTCCTCCTCCTCCTCCTCGTCCTCCTCCTCTTCTTCCTTGATCCTTGATCCTTCCAGGAGGCGCGCCCGAGGGACGGGCGCACCTCTCAACAGTTCAGTCCACAACGACTGCCCTACGGCAGCCCGACACGCCAAACGCGTCCCGACCACGCGCAGCTTGGCCTCCGAAGCTCAGAAGACGGCGACGCCCTTTCTGATAACACGGATGTCCACCTCTGGGAGACTGGCGCCACACAGGCCGCAGCCAAGGCAGATACAGACCAATAGAAGAGATTCCCAGTTCAACTGAAATACTCTCCCGCGTACGAACATCCCATTCCACCAGGCAGAGGCCATAATAGCCACTCCTCCAACATAACAACCAGAAGCACGTACTGCCCATGCCTTCACACGGGTAGAATATCACGATACGAGAAGACTCCATAATCAACAGATATATTCTCCATATCGAAGAAACCACCTCCACCAGAAACTGCCAGAACTGAAGTTCCACTCCGCAGCACTGGTGGCTCCTCGCAGGTAGTGCCGACGAGGATAATCACGACAAGGGAACCCCTTCGCCATGGGTGGAGAGAAAACGACGGATACTCTTGACTTGCGTCTTCTGCCCTGCCTGCGTGTTGGCGACTCCACCGCACCTGCGTTTGAGGTTCACGATTTTGCCGTCGAACTTTGTCGAGTGACACGCACATATAGTACAATTAACACCACATCGGATCGAGGCCAGGTGGCCCGATGCCTTCGACAACCTCAAGAAAGTCCAAGTGTGAGAGGCACCAGTGGGACTTCGGCACATACCGCTCTCGTTTATGCACCAGCCCACGAATATCACGCCATACCCCTGCATGCATAGCTTCTGCTGCCTCGCTGTCGTCGTTCCAGTTGTTGCCTTCCTTGGCTAGCGACTGCAGGTCTGAGATGGTTAAGTCGACTTTGCTAAAGACCATAACCGCTTGTAACACCGCGTGCCTTTCTGCCAGTCCAATTGTCTGCTGCCTTCCAGGGAGTCCTCCATAGATCGCTTTGCAGGGGTATCCATGCTTGGACATCTCCACTGCTGCCCATCCACAACGCCTAAGCTCTGGAAGTGACGGTGGTGCGGCAGACTCATCAGTGAAAAGCGTCACTGGCTCATCGAGAGGCCGTCGCCCCCAATTCCCCCAGTAGTGGACTGGTAAGTGATCACCTGGAAGCTCAGGAATGGCAGGCAACTGCGGCATGCCCACCGCGCAGTCGAACGCATCCAAAGCCACCACTGGTTGCATACTCGTGCCGTGTTCTAAAATCGCCTTGCGAAATTAGCAGAGGTCCTCAGGCATGGGGTGCTCTTCTTCGTCGTCCAATAATCTGCCTACTACCGCTTGGCATTCAAATGCGCAATGTCCAATGTACTCGTCCTCCTGCCCGCGCCCACGGCATTAGGTGCCCGAAACCTTGCCGCGATCGAACAACCTGGGCTTGGGCCAAAGCGACCCAGGCCAAAGCGAGCGTAGAGCTCCAGCGGCGCTGGGGGATTTGACCGAAGCCTCTCTGGCACCAACCCCGTAGCGCAGACACCTGGCCCAAATCGTCGTTCTCGGCTCGGCTGACGGGTGATGCTCCATAACCTTCCTCATTTGCCACCGCTGGATGCCCAACCTAAGTAAGGGCCGCATGAAAGTAGGCGGCGTGGTTAATAGCGAAAGCAGATCTCCCGCATCGTCTCGTACTACCGTCGAAGACGCCATATCCCATCCAATGCGCTGCAACGACAGCTTGCAGACCGCCAGCGGCCCACGTGCTGATTGCCAGGTCACGCCGCTTGAACAAAGATTGCGCCGCGCCCGCTCGATCTGTCCCAGGCTCTGATCTCGATTCCACATAGCGCGGTGAAGAGCGAAGAAAGGGGCCGTAGTCGCGTCGAAAATGGGATCGTAATAGGCGTCCTTCTGCGTGGCTAAATATAGCGTGATGCTAGCACCGCGCCCAGGGTATTCTGCCATCCTTGCTGCCGCACTGCGAAGATGCCGGATTTCGACATCTGAGATGCCACTTGCAATTGCCCCATGTCCCACTGCGGGACGAAACCTTGTGATCCACAGTGTAGTAATCTTGAGCCCAACGGTCTGCTTGAACGAGAATGCCCTTTTCAGCCTGGCCTTCAGAGCGCCTTTACGCTTTGCTTGTACACCTCTACGAACAGCCTGCCCATGAAGTTCATGACCTAAGTTGCGCATGTGCATCTTCTTTGGTATGCCTCAAAACTCAGCCGATTCCAGCGATGCAGTCGCTCCCTCGCGCGTCGTGAATACGAAGCCAGACTTGTTCACTTGTGCCAGCAGCCCCAATGCCTGCACATCGTGGATGAAGCCTTTGAGCGCTTTCCATAGCTGCACAACTTTCTTTGCACCTTTGCCGACCCATTGCGCTGGGGCGTCATCTACCAGCCCCCGAGGGATGACCCCCGAGTTGCTCATGCGCTGCAGAGCCGTCGCCGTGAGTACCGTGGGCAAAGTAGTGCTGTGATTGCATCCCGCGAGTATGCCCTGGTCCGATTGATAGCTACTCGACAGCGACGCAAACGCTCTGACGATGCGCGGCATAGTGTGGCACTGCAGAACCATCCAGACCAACCGCGATGGAAAGCGCATGACTTTCGCTTGCTCCATGAGGGCCTGAGGCGACACACTCTCGAAAGCCTTCCACGCGTCCAGCAGGGCCGTGACCGACTGTTGCCCAGTCAACACTGCCACCTCCGCCGCCAAGTTATGCTGAAACGCCGATGCACTGGAAGAACGCCCTGCACCGCCTGCCCCCCAAGGAAAAGGCAGCTCGGTTCGCTTGGGCCACTCCCGTGAAATATTGCACCTGGCCCTTGGCCAGATACGCACGACCGAGTTGACCAAGCCAATCAACCTGCTGCCCCCGTCAGGTTTTGGAAGCCGCACCAAGATGTTAAGGGCCCGCTCGCTGGACCAATCTCCCAACTCCTCGCATCTGGAATATAACGTACTCAGCGTCTCCAACCCCATATCGCTGACCTGCCAGAACTTCTTGGGAGCTATCCCCGTCTGTCCTTTGGCAGTGCGTGATGGAAATTTGAGAGTAACCTCCCTCAATTAAGCTACCGGCATATCTGGTAAGAACTCCCACTCCGCAATATCAGGCGGCGTCGGCAACTTGGAATACCCATGCTGCTGCCATGCTTCCCCCCGTTTTGACAACTCACGATCGACCAACTTGTATGGCTCAGCTTGGAGCATCGTTTTAAGAACTCCGGCTTTGGCTGGTACCTTTGTGTACTTGTGAGCAGCGCCCGCACCTTTCCAGAAACTCTGATCTGCCCCCCTGCTTCCAACCTTTTAGCTTAGCCTTCATGGCCAACTCTTCCTCCTTCGCCCCTTGTCGTATCACCTTATCCGTAATCGCGTGGAAGTCGTCGCGCGCCAGCAAGAGTAGCCCGTCTTGAAAGAAAGTATCCACCTCTCTCGACAGATGTTTGAGAACCTTCTTGCTGCTGACCACCTTCCGTAGAAAAAGCGCGACTTCCTTCACCAGCTTAATCAGCTGTCCACATTGCTCCTGCGTGATGTCGCACACCTTCGCCGCTGAGTTGAGCAGAACGCAATACTTATCCAAATTAGCTGTCGTAGCCTTCAAGTGAGCGCACCAGCGACCAGCCACTTTCCACGCATGAGCTTTGTCTGAAATGTGTGTACGCTTCCTCGGTGGAGTCCACTCGAGCTTCTTCCAGGTAAGACAGACTGGCCCCGCTCGCCCCACGTGCTTGATCTTGTCTTTACCCCGTAAGCACCATCGATCAGCCAGATCAAGTTCAATCTCCGTCAGGACCAAATCCCACGCTGCCGTGAGAGACCGAAAATCATCAGCCCGTAGCACGGCTTGAGCAGCAGTTTTCCAAGCTCTCGCGCGCGGGAACCTAGCACAGCCCACCGGTGCCTCCGCCCCGGAACCAAGCGGCTCCACCAACTGCCGAGTCCAGGCCTGGCTGTTGGATTTGCGCACACCGTGCCGTACTGGGCTGTGCGTTGCAATAGTAGCGTCCTCCATTGCAATTCCCCCGTCTAATCGCGTGATCATGTTGTCACACACCATCGCGTAATCGAGGCAACGACCCAACTCACTCTTGTCGCATGTCGAAGTTGTCGGGGAGTTCAGATGCCCACCGACCGAGCTGAGCCACTCGTGCTGCCAGTCCGCTGGTTCAATGTTCCAGTCCCGAAGCACTACCCAGTCCATGCCAA